GTGGCATTAAAAGTTTTCATGAGTCAAATTCTCTCTACTTGGATGGATCCAGAAAGCTCAGAGACTGTAGACAGTTAGCAAAAGTTAAACGTCGGGGACTACTAGGTAGAGAGACGGAGACATTTACTCCACACAGCTTTGCAAATGGCAGCACAGAAATCAAGAGCACACACTTTGGAGTCAGCCTCCCCATCTCCGCTACCTGTATGACCTTGACCAAGTTACTTAACCTCTGGAAGCACCCCCTTTTGTAAAATGGGGGATAAAAATATCTTGCCCACAGGGTTTCTGTGAGGATTTAATAAAATAATGCTTGTGAGGTCCCTAGCACATTCCTGACCCATTACAGGAGTTCAGAAAACAGGAGTGCTTACGAAAAACAGAACTCCCTGTAACAGGGACCTGCCAGCCCTTCTGAACACACAGCTGTCACACGGGGGAGCCTGTGGAAGGAGGGGCTGTGGCATTATATGCTCTCAATCCCTGTGAAGGACACAGCTCACCATCGGGACCATCAGGACTATAAACTCTATTTAGAAGAACAAATGAATTCTTACTCCTTCAAATAAAATCAACGGACATGCTCCACCACGCAGAAATGTTCTGGCAAAAGGCATCACATTCGGCAGCGCCCCTAAGCCCTGATGCTGAAGCAAGGCAAACCGCCTCTTCCTACTGACCTAAAAGCTAAGATTTAGTTTACCACTAGTGGAGGAGTCGTCAGTTTTATTTGAACACAACAGGAAACCACTTGTTTCAGCTCAGATCTCTTTCTAATGGTCAGGAAAGTGCTAAGCCTTCAGTTCCTGTATATACACAGATAATCACGGCGAATTTTGTGAAGTTACTGTAGTGCAGTAGGTCTCAGAGTGCAGCCCCCAGCACCGGCATCTCCCAAACCTACTGAATCAGAACCTCTGAGGGACGGGGCCCAGCAAGCTGGTCTAACATGTCCTCTGGCGGTTCTGCCCCTTGTGGGTGCCGATGGAGTCCCACCCAGACCCCCTTTGCCACTGCCTCCATCCTGTAGCTGCAAGGGCCAGTTACCCTCTTCCCATGGGCAAGACCTCACACCCATCATTAACCAGCCCCATGGCTTCAACTGGGACTAGTTCTGCCGAACAATTCATATCCTAGGGTTTCTCGGTGAATGGGGAGGGAGCTAGACTGCAGTGGAAACCACACGCTTGCTCGTGGCTTTTCCCTGGACGCATCTGCTTTTCCCATGCTCCTCCTGACAGCACACCCTCCATCAATTGCACAAGAACCCCCGTCTCAGATTCTGCTCTTAGGGAATGCAATCCACAGCAGTTAATTTCACAATCTCAAAAAATGCACTACTACCAGAACATGTCTGTCCACAATTCCCAGTTATTTCACTCAAGACAATTCTCAAACCAGCGCACCTATGCCTAAGCCCCCTAGAGCAGTGGTTCTCAACCTTGGCTGCACATTAGAATCACCTGGGAATCTTTTTAAAATCCTGATTTCTGGGCCTCATCCTCCGGAAATTCTGTTTCTTTGTTACTAATGTTGATCCCATAAATGGTCTAGTCCAGCCGTGGGCAAACTACGGCCCGCGGGCCGGATCCGTCCTGTTTGAAATGAATAAAACTAAAAAAAAAAAAGACCGTACCCTTTTATGTAATGATGTTTACTTTGAATTTATATTAGTTCACACAAACACTCCATCCATGCTTTTGCTCCGGCCCTCCGGTCCAGTTTAAGAACCCATTGTGGCCCTCCAGTCAAAAAGTTTGCCCACCCCTGTTCTAATGTGCAGCCAAGGTTGAGAACCACTGCCCTAGAGGCTTAGAGGATGCGGGTGACAGGACACGGACTTGCAATTGTTTTTGGATCTGAACGTTTGTGTATTGTGACTCAGGGAATGTAGTGTTTTAGCTCCTGAGACGGTGTGATATGGTGAGACAAGCTTGGATTCAAATCCTGGCACCACCATTTGCAAGTTGTGTCAACTTGGACAATAAAGCTACTTCTCTCTTCTTCCTCCTTACCACAAAGCAGAGTGCCCAAAACACTGAGTTTTTATGAGAATTAAATGAGATGGCATAGACATCACTCAGGGCCTTAGCTTTCTTGTCTTAACAGGCATAATTACGGGATTTACTTCACAGGGCTCTTGAGAGGATGCAAGTACAGCTCTCACATGGTATATACTACACGAATGTTAGGTGCCATTATAAGGAGCAGGCTTGACACATGCTCATTCCCTTCCACCACAGGCCAGGGGGTTCCAGATTTACCTGGAAGCTCCCTTAGAGTCCACTGCATCTCCATCCCAGCGACAGTGGAAACGAATGTGGTGTGGCGCCCTTCTCTCTGGGATTCCCTAAGGAAACTCACATATATGGAAATCCTCTGAATTTTCTCTTTGGTAGAAAACAAAGATCCTTACAGCCAGAAGGGGCTTCAGAATTTAGCTTTCTGTCTAGTCCTGCTTAAACTTGCTCATGTATTTCGCCTCTGGGGCTCCAGCCCTTGACCAGTCCCAACCTGCACGCAGCTCGGCGGACAGGTGTCAGGCTCCCAGCAGCACTCACTCACCGGGGAAAAGTGTCCCCGTCACAAGCCACAGCTCACTTCACCTATTGTGGCCCTTGGGCCAGAAAAAGTTCCTCTGACAGCTTGAGACATTACTTTTACTATGAAATATTAAAGTTGGTGATTTGTAATTAGCCAAAGGGTGAGAAAAAAACAGGCATCCTTTTGTTATCAGTTAATAACACCTTAGCTCTGAAAACTAAATCCCATTTAATCCAAAGGGAAAAGCAGCTCTGCTGGCGGGGCCTCAGACGGGGAGCGCTGGGCGCCCAGGATCCAGGTAAGATAAAGTGAATGCGCCTCCACCATGTGGCCAGGAAACGGTTTGTGTAGAAACGGGCTAGGATTTATTAGGTGACTTTGTTGGGGTCCAACGCCAGCAGGTCCAGGGGTTCCCCAAGGTGTGGACGGAGTCGGCGATGAAGGAATGACGTGGAGACAGCGTTCGGTTGATCAGCAGCCTAGCCAGGATCTCCAGCCAAGTTCTGGTGTTTATTGTCTTGTTACATCTGTATTTATACTAGTTGATTTTAACCCTGTCAATTTCTATTGCAAAGGTTAGGGCGTTTCTTATCTCCATTCCAGGGAGTAAAGATTATGTAGTTTAAGCGTGATTGTTTGTAGTTAAAGTGATTAACTACCCACCTGGCACTTAGTTAAGGGGTTTTATCCCCTCCCTAACTTCAGGGAAAAATCCCTACCTGGGGAAACAACCTTTCTCGGAGAGGTGACCTTGGTTAAAACACATAGCGCTAAGGGGAGCAAACATATTAAGAACAGTATGCTATATACACCAGGTCCCTTGAAACATATGCTGTGCAGATGTTTCTTTCCTGCAGCGACTGTGTCAAGCAGCAAGGATGGACAGGCTTCTGGCATGACTTCTCAGTCATTCAGCTGTGACAAACTGAAATCCTGTGAGCTACCGACCCGACACCCCAAGTGTGGAAGCCCCAGAGGCTGGGGTGCCCCAAGCATTCATGCTCGACCGCCCCCCCCCCCGCCCCCAGCAGTGAGGAGGCCAGGATGGACAGGCTTCTGGCATGACTTCTCAGTCATTCAGCTGTGACAAACTGAAATCCTGTGAGCTACCGACCCGACACCCCAAGTGTGGAAGCCCCAGAGGCTGGGGTGCCCCAAGCATTCATGCCCGCCCCCACCCCAGCAGTGAGGAGGCTGCAGAGAAAGACAAACAGACCAAGAAACGTCTTCCCTAAGGAAATAAGATGTTACGAGATCATATTTTTTCTATTTTTAAACATTTTATATAACTCATAAAACAGTGCTTGTATAAAAATTCACACAAAGTTGCTAGAGAGCATACAATTTCCAAAAAGGTCCTGGGTTTTTGTTACATTCAGTTTTCTAAGGATGCATTCAAATCAATGGTAAGATGCAGACATTACGTGATAGTTCATTATCTTTGGTAAAACTATGCTCATTATTTTGTCTCCTCACAGTATTAACTCTGATATCCACTTTGTGCAGGGTCTGCTATCACTAGGATGTCAGAAAAACATTAAGGCTGGATCTACGCGAGGCAAGTATTTCCAAATGGCAGTAACAGCCCTTGGCCTCCAGCCCCACTTCATATCACCTAGCTACACAGGCAGGGAGAGAGTGCAATGGGCTCCAATCAGGGATCTTGAGAACCCCCCTCCCCCATCAGGCAAGAGGCAAACGTTTTGGGGAAAGGAGGAAACTGAGGCCATTTCTACAGGAACCCGGTGCCATGCTGTGGTCTGGTCAGGCCAGTGACTCTTACCATTTAAACAGCTAATCCATTCATCACTCAGTAGATCCCATTGGTGGGTTGATGACTGCTGCTGATATGATACCCCTCGCCCTCAACTTACAGAAAGGAAGGTTCAGGGCTGACACGGAATGGGGAGGGGCACACTAACACCCTCGACACAAGACACGACTTTATTCCCTGTCAAATGGTTGCTGTCATGTAGACACAGCCAAAGTGAACTGAAGCAGGATTAGAACACGTAGTACATTCAGGACTACCTTCATACATTCTTTTAAAAGTTCCTAACACAGAACACGAGGGACACTACCACCTAACGTGACTTGCTATTTCACTTAACATCAGAATGTGTCTGTGCTAATTCTTTACTTCTCCGGATACAAGGCAAAAGAACACCCCGAAAAACAAGTGAAAACCAAAAAATTTAGATAGGGGGAAGGGATTTGCCAACAGATTTTATGGAAAACATTACATTTCGAAAAAAAATAAGTAGTTTGTACTTATATTGCTTCATGTAAAAACTGCCCCTGAGCCCACCTGCATGGCTGGGGAACTGAGGGCACCATACAGGACACAGGGCCTGCGTTCGCTTCCTGCCGACAGTCCAGAGGGACAGCAAACAGCTCCCAGAGTGTGGCCACCTCTCTTCACTGAAAGGGAAACTGAGATTTGGGGGGGGCACAGGAAAGGTATAAAAGGAAACCACCCAAATACAGTTTCCAAAAACATGATCTAGGTTACGGAGGCATAGTTCATTCTTAGACCTAGAACCTGTTGATTTCTTTAATGTGGGTACATAGGAATTTAAAAAATGATTGTGCTTCTGAAGTTGCAGGGTCACATTCCAGCCTCTAGAAAGCAGGACAATTTTCACATGGCTTGGAATCCTTTCGGATACATCCTAGAGACCAGAACGAATTCCTCGGCACTCTCCAACCAGCAGGGCTGGCGGCCAGTGCCACTGCCATCTTTGGGTAGGGGGTAGAGCGTGTGTGTGCATGTGTGTATATGCATGCATGTGTGCATGTGTGCATGTATGTGTTTGGGAGACTAAGGCATAGAGAAAGGCGCAGGTGAGGGGGCGTGGGGTGAACCTCCTGGCTGCTCCAGTCCCTTCTTCTTTCCAGGCACAAAGAAGTTGAAGTTGTTTATGTAGGTCCCCATCACTCGTTTTTAAATAAGAAATGTGTGCGTGCACGTGTGGGTGGGTGGGAGAGTCATTCAATCCCTGTGCATTTCTAAATTTCAATAATTTAGGACTGCAGTTTCAACAGAAACAATCTGTAAATGACATTTAAAAGCAAATTTAATAAAGCTAGGTCAACACGTAAACATTGTTCAAAATCCGGTCATATATATTAAAACAAACAAACCTGCTGGGTGCAGGCAAAATGCTGTCCTACAGCCACCGGAACCGAAGTCCTTGTCAGCTGTATAAAGACAATTCACAGATTGTTTCTGTTGTTTCTGCATTTTAAGGTAGCCAATATTTAAGCCACAGGGTTTTATGACTACCCTGTGTGATTCATTCATGTTTCCAGGTTTCTGGTATGATGCATTCAGTTTGAGTTCTAAACTGTTTCCTTTTCCTCTTAGGCATTTGGCCCCCAAAGTCAGGTCCATAAAAGTATTGTTTTCAAGAACTTCTAACTACTGGGGGATTTCCTGGTCAGAACTCCTGGAGAACATGCCACTGGCCTAAAATAGTCTGACCTTCCCAACCAGTGGGAAGAGAAGAAATGTCACAATCCAAGGCAAGGGGCCAAGATGTAGGACAGCAGGGCCTTCTAGGGGGTCTGAGGGGGGAGCTCTGAGTGGACCCTGGGAAGGGACATGGGATCCCCATTTGAGATGATCTGTGTCCTTCCAATACCGGGCATCCCCAAGAGGGCCTGAGGGTCTGGGCCTGCCCTGAGGAGCAGGATGCATACTGATCGGAGGAGCTAACACAGAGCTGTGGTGAAGTCGCCATACGGCTCTCAGAACCCAGGTTTTGTACAAATACACACACAGAAAGTAAACAGTTCGTGGTGAGACCAAAGGGACCCGTCCTTACATCAAACAAGAAGCCAATTAATTCACACACACAGTTCTCCAAGGACATGTGTTGGCCCCTCCAACCAGCCTCCTCGTATGGAGAGGGAAGGGGGCAGTGGAAGGACACAGCTCAAATGACATTGTGAACGTGTTCCCACGTCTATCTACATTCATCTCATCATCATCATCCAGTGTTCTTGTCTACAGAGAGTGAGCACAGCATCCGACCCACCCAGCAACGACGAGCAGGCCAGGCCACCAGGAAGCCCCTTCCTCGCACTACAGCGGAGGGAGGGAGCGCACATGGTCAGGAAGGTTGTCACGCCACCCCGTTCCCTCCGCTGCCATCCAAGGGGCATCCTGACCCTTCACAATCAGAGATAAAGACAAGGCCAGTCAGGTCGGTCTCTATGCCCCCGGAAGCTATTATTGGCCACCATGCAGAAACATGGCCACCCTAAAAATTTCATAAATCTGAAACCACCTTCAAAAGAAATCCCAGCAACAGAAGTCATCTAACAGTATTTCACCATGAATATTTAAAAGACTTTTTTTCCCCCTAAGCAAATTGGCCCCCAAAGAGCCCAAATGATCTTTTAAAAAAGGGTTTCCTTTTAATTAAAAAACAATTGATAAAAATGGAAGATGTAAAATGTGGGAAGAGGAACAAGAGTTGCTGAATTTGCATTTCAAATTGAGAAGAAGGGGAGGACAGCCAGGAGAGAGAAGCCTGCTCCTGAGGCCTCGGCTCTCACAGCTCAGCCGTCCCCAAACTGGCTGCACCCCTGGGGAACTCGGGACACAGGTCCGAAGGAAGAGAGACCAAATGTAAGGCTTCGTTCTTGTGGTTGGGTGGGTGTTTGTGTGCAAAAGTAGTAAGCCACTTCCCACTGCCATAAGGTGCGTGTCTGGATACCATACACGTGCTCCGAAGGCAGGCTCAGGCCCCAGGGTACCGTCACTTCTCCACCTTCTTGGCTTTCTTCAGGATGTCACATTTTTTCCTGTTGGGGCGGCGGCATCGCTCATCGATGCTGGGGATACATTCGTAATGCCACACCTCCTCCATCTTCTCCACGGGGTACACCGCCTCCACGTAGTGGCGGATGAGTCTGAGCCGCGTGGGGTCCAGCTGCTTCTTGTTGCAGGCCCCCGAGTGGTTGTACTGCAGCCGGAGGTTCTCGGCCGTGAAGAGTTCTGGGAAGAGCCTGACGAGGAGCCGCGCGGCGAAGTTGCCCACCGAGAGGCTCTGCTGCACGATCTCGCGCACCTCCTTGTCCGACAGCAGGTATGGCGAAGGCACGGGGAAGTCGGGCGAGGGGACCACCAGCTCGTCCAGCGGGATCTTGCAGAAGTCTTTGCTACTTCTTTCGGGGGGCAGCGGGGGTCCCTCAAATTCCTCTCGGAACCTCTCGGAGTTGACTGCATAGCTTGCCAGGTCCCTGCACTCGGGGCCTGGCACATGGACCTTGCGCTGCTGCTGGTAGGAGCGCCTCTGCTCCGTGTCCCGGCGGCGGCAGCGCTCGTCCAGTTTGCCCACGAACTCCAGCGTCCAGACGCGGTCGTTCTTGGCCCGGGGATAGAGCAGCTGCACGTAGTGGCGAATGAGCTTGATGCGGGACGGGTCCAGCTGCTTCTTGCCCAGGGAGCCGCTGCAGTTGTACTGTTTGCGCAGGTTCTCGTGGGTGAAGAGCTCGGGGAAGAGGTGCACCAGCAGGCGCGAGGCGAAGTTGCCGATGGACAGGCTGCTCTCGTAGATGCTGCGCAGCTGCTCCTTGCTGAGCAGGCAGTCGCCGCCAGGCACCTCGAAGTCGGGCTGCGGGACCTCCAGCTTGTCGAAGTCAATGGGCACCAGCCAGATCTTCTTGGACCGCCGGCCGGGCCGCTCGCCCTCGAAGCTGTCCTCCACCTTGATCACGGAGATGTCGTCGGGCAGGCTGGAGGAGTCGTAGCAGTCGTCCCGCGGGGGCTCGCCCTCGCTGCCCCCGTCCAGCCCCAGCCCCTCCAGCTCGTCGTTGATGCGCTGGGCGCACTGCTGCAGCCAGGCCTCCTCCTCCTGCATGTCGGGGAAGTAGATCTCCGTGTAGTTGCGGATGATCTGCAGCCTCTGCGGGTCCAGCTCCTGCTTGCCACCATCCCCGTAGCAGCTGTACTGCTCACCCAGCTTCCGGTGGTCAAAGAGCTCGGGGAAAAGCCGGTGCAGCAGGAAGACCGCGAACTCGCCGGGCGAGGAGGCTTCGTCCAGGAACTCGGTCAGGTCCTGTGTGTCCACCACGTGGTCCGAGGCGATGGTGCTGCTCCGATCCAAGGACAGGGCCTCCTCCTGGTCTTTGTTGTCCAGGAAGTGGCCGGGGTCCACCTGCTCGGCCTCAAAGAAGCCGGCGACCTGGCCCGCTGGCTGGCTGTCCTCCATTTCCCGCTGGGCCCAGAAGCGGCTGAAGAAGTCGTTCAGCTGAGGCAGGCACTCTGCCTGCCACACGGCCGTGTCCTTCACGGAGGGGTAGTAGACCTCCACGTAGTTGCGGATGAGCTGCAGGTGCAGCGACTCCAGCTTCCGCTTGGCTGCGAAGCCGCAGGCGCTGCAGCCGCGAGAGAAGTCCACGTCGCTGAAGAGCTCGGGGAAGAGCTGCACCAGCAGGCGGCAGGCCAGGTCCCCGCCCGACAGGCTCTGGTCCACGATCTGCTTGAGCTCGGCGGCCGTCAGCTGGTACTCGGGGGGCGGCTGGAACTTGGCCACCATCTCCGTGGGGCTCACCTGCTTCTTGATGCGGCTCACCTCCAGGGACAGCAGGTCCACCTTGCTGTGCAGCTGGGACATGCTGGAGGAGAGTGTGTTGAGCATGTAGAACATCTTCTGGAGCAGAAAGTAGATGTTGGGGTCGCCGTCGGTGGTGGCCGAGGCCGCACTGCCACTGTCCCGCTTCTGTGTCTCGTTCAGGAGCCGCAGCGGTGAGGGGCTGTTGCTGGGGTTTGCCTTCTCCAAGAGCTCATACGTGCTGAGCATGTCGCCCGCAGGGGGGTTCTTCTTCTCCATGATCTTGTGCGAGATGCCGTACAGAGGCTTCTTGTAGGAGGGGGTGGTCGCGTCATGGCAGGGCTCCTCCTCACCCGGCCACGCAGAGACCAAGTGCTTGCCCCTGCCGGCCTGCTCCCCGTTGCCCTGGCAGGGCGAGCTGTTCTCCCGGTTCCTCATGCCTGCTAGGAGCGCCTGGAAAACAAAAGGTGTGTTAGGGGATGTTCCGATTTACTACACTCGACACAGGTCTGTGCCACACACACACAGGGGCCAACATCAACTGCAGGAGCACATGAGGAGCCGGTTCCCTCGCCCTGGAGTCACTCTGTCCAGAATGCACCACGGATACAAACACGAGTCTCAGTGTGAACCTGTTCATGCCCCTACTTCCTGAGAGAGGCTCCGACTGGACCCGGAAGGCTGCGAATTGCTGCGGGACACCAGTGCTGGACTTTCTACCCAGGGCCTGACAGGAGACAGAGCACCATGGCTGGCAAGAGCCCTGCTGGGGGTGGGAGGGAGACCATGGGAATGAGGAGCTCCTGGGCAGATGACCTCACTGACCGCAGCCTCAAGGCAAACAGGCATTTCCACGTGGACAGCTGAGATGCCCGGTGGTGGGCACAGAAGAATGGGGTGTAGACAGTGGCAGTGAGCTGCCCACTCTACCACCGCCTGGAATCTTATCTCGATGGGAAAAGGGCTAGCCCAGATGTTCCAGAGCCTGTGCTACTGAGAGTCCATGAAATGATGGGGCCTCCCAGGTTCTAAGTTTTGGTCTTCCTGTTGATCCAGCAGCCCTTCTCAACCAGAACTCCAGGAGGAAAGGAAGCCCCACTGACCTAAGTCACCCACAGTCTGTAATGAATTAACATGTATCTTATGCATCTAAGAAGGGTACTTGCTATGAATGATCCACTTTGCTCAACAGAGGTCTGTGAGAGAATTAAGACTTACCAACAAAGATCTGAGGGACGGGTTCCTCCACTCACCCAAGGATGGCATACACTGAAGGCTTCTTGTTGCCAGACACCCAAGGAAGCTCAAGATACTCTTTAAGAACCTCAAAGCTGGACTCCACACCCCACCACGGGACAGACATCACCCTGACCATTGGGAACCCAGAGTTCTCAGTGCTTTCATCAGTAGTTTCCCCACTGCCAGGCCCTGAACATTTCAAGAGGCTTATTTACATACATGTGGACAGGCAGATTTTGAGAAAGGTTCAAAGGCAAGTCAGTGGCGGTGCTGGCTCATTCTACCATGTTCCATACACAGAAATGAACTCAAGATGGATTGTGGACCTAAATACAAATCCTAACTTAAAATTCTAATACTTCCAGAAGAAAACATACGAGAAATCCTTTGTGACCTTGGTTTAGGCAAAAATCTCCTAGAATACAAGCACAATCCATACCGTAAGAGAACAAATTGATATATTGAACTTCATCAAAATAAAAAATTTCTGCTCTTTGAAGGACACCATTAAAAGAATGAAAAACAGGCTAGAATGGAAGAAAATACTGGCAAATCATTTATCTGATAAAGGACTTGAGCCCAGCATACTTACAGTACTCTCAAATACAGTAACAGACAACCCAATCAGTTATTGCAACAGCTACTTCAAAGTAGATATATAAATGGCATATATGCACATAAAGGACGCTTATTAATAAAATGCAGATCAAAGCCACAATGAGGGGACTCTTTTCCCCTCCCCATGTGGGAGTCTGTGCTGTGAGATTCTTTCCCCTTCCCCACATGGGACTCTGTACTTGTTCTTCAATAAATTTCCACCTTTGCTATACCAGAAAACACAAACAAACGAACAAAAAACCCACAATGAAATGCCACATCACACCCACCAGAGTGGGTAATAAAAAAGAGAATAAAAAGTGCTGGAGATGAGGTGAAGGAACTGGAACCCTCAGACACTGCTGGTGGGGATAGAACCACTTCGGGAAATACTTGGTACTTCCCAGAAAGTTAAACATACACGGACCATATGAACCAGGTATTCCATTCCTAGGAATTTATTTACAAGCAAAATGGAAGCACAAGATCATATAAATACTTCTACGCAAATGTTCATGGCAGCCCTATTTGTAAACAGCCCCAAACTGGAAACAACCCAAATTTTTATTAACAAGTTATAAACAAACTGTTATATTCGTACAAAGGAATACTACTCATAATAAAACTGTTACACCATGATAAATCGAAGTAATTATGCTGAAAAAAGCCAAACAAAAGATACCATACTATAGGATTCCATTCACATAAATTTCTAGAAAATACAAACTTATCAATGGTGACAGAAAGCAGATAAGAAGTTATGTGGTGTGCAGGGAGGATGCAAAAGGGAACAAAACTGTAATGGTAGCTGATGATGGGTATGTTTATTATCTTGATTGTGGTGACGGCTTTACTGACATACACATGTCAAAACTTACCAAATGGTACACTTTATGTGCCATTCATTGTATTTCAGTCCTAACTTTATAAAGCTGTTTTTGGCAAATGTTGAATTTGACCCCAAAATGTATGGGAATATATTTTCCAGGGTTTAATCAAGCAAAAGAGCTCATTGGCAAGCACTGGTGGCTGTCAGGGGAGCAGGCAGGGTTGAAGCTTTACAAATGGTTCACGTCCACAGACATGCCTGTGCCCAAGGCAACTGCGGGATGGACGGGAACAAGGTGCATCCGAAGGAAAACGTGGCTGGCTCGGCTGGCCCAGCCAGGGCTTCTGAAATGCAGTCACCTGGAGTCTTGCTAGAATGCAGATCCTGATCCCTGGGTCTGCATTTCGAACGAGCTCCGGAGTGGGCATTGGTCCTCTCCCGGGCCTGCTCTCCGTTTTCCTCATCCAGGCAGATTCAGTATCATTTGTTAACCTTCCGATAACTCATGCCACATCAAACAGCATGTGAGGTTTTTCCTCTTGCAGGGCAAGGAACAATTTCAAGAGGCGGGGGTTATAGTGGCAGGTGAGCGACATGGAGTGAGAAGAGGTAGGCCCAGGGTGAAAACAGGCCACAAGGTCACATCATCATAAAACCTTGATCCTTCTAAACTTCCATGCTATTTTCATTTAAATTAATCAACTACTTCCTTGACCCTCTTAGATAACAAAATAATGACTCATATTACAGAAAGGTTAATTTTTCTCTGATATCTCTGTTGATAACCATGCCAAAGAAAAGCTATTTTACTCTCCTAGGAACCTGAAGATATAGGAATTCTTGTGTTTTAATTATCCCACAGAGCTGCCCAATACTTTCTCAGGGTTCATCTGTCTAAGCTGATGAAGGGTCAGAGGCACTGGCCCCTCCTATACCTCACCGCCCCCCACCCCCTTCCCAAGAGCACAGGAGCAGGACATGCTGGGTTGGGGAGCCTGCCCCTGCCCTACTCCCTCCTGGGGTCATCCCCATCCTCATCCAATAGCAGGATGGTTACCTGATAGGAGCAGGCCATTCCTGAGTCTACCCCCAGTGCCAAGCACAGTGCCTGGGACACAGAGAAGCTCAATGAATGTCAGTTAACCACATACAAGGAAGTTTAAAGCAGAGCAAGGGGTTCTACCACTCTCAAATACATGCTTAAGACAGAGGAGCAGTTCAGACAGGCCACTAGCTTCATGAATAACTTGACTGTAGGGAGGTGAAAGGAGTGGGTAAGTGTTCAGCTCAACTGTCATGCTGTCTGTCCTCTGTGTGACCTTGTTACATTACATGACCTTTCATGTCTCAGCTTCCTGTGCGTAACTCAGGGATAAATAATGTACCGGTCTCGTGGGGTTGTGAGGACTTAATGTACATAAGTACTTAATATTTATTATTACAATATGATTATTATTTTGTTGTTGTCATTAATCCTCACCCAAGGACATTTTTTCCACTGATTTTCAGAGAGAGTGGAAGGGAGGGAGGGAGAAAAGAAAAGAGAGAGAGAGAGAGAGAGAGAGAGAGAGAGAGAGAGAGAGAGAGAGAGAGAGAGAGAGAGAGAGAGAGAGAGAGAGAGAGAGGTGAGAGAGACACAATGATTGCTTGCCTCCTGCAGCACCCCACCTGCAACCCAGGTACATGTCCTTGACCAGGAATTGAACCTGCGACCCTTCAGTGCATGGGCTGATGCTCTAACCCACTGGGAAACACTGGCCAAAGTTATGATATTATTAAATAAGTAGAGGCCCGGTGCATGAAATTCATGCACGGGTAGGGTCCCTAGGCCTGGTCGGCTATCAGGGCTGATCGTGGCCTTCTGGCCGGCCGGGGGGGCCTCCCTTCCTGGGCTGCCTGCTGCTGGCGGCCGGGGCCTTCTTTCATTCTGCGCCACCCCCTGGTGATCAGTGAACGTCATAGCGAGCAATCGAACTCCCAGTCTCTTGGTTGAACTCCTGAGGGGACACTTTGCATATTAGCCTTTTATATATATAGACTAGTAGCCCTGCACACAAATCCATGCCTGAGTAGCTCGCTGCCACTTGCCTCAGCTAGCCACCCGCCCACCGCCGCTGGTAGCTCTCCACTGCTTGTAGCTCGCTGCCGCACCCTCCTGTAGCTCTCCACCACTTGTAGATTGGTCGTGATGTTACAGCATAATGGATAATTAGCATATTCCTCTCTTATTATATAGGATGTTACTCCTAAGCCAGAGCAGAGGTAACCCTATGGGCCTTTTATAAAACTAGTTGTAATGATTACTCTCTACTGGTAAACAAGAGAGCTTGCCTACAGCACCAGGAGCAGGGTAACTCACTCACGGAAGGTGCATCTTACAGGCCTGTTTGCCAGGGGAGGAGTACAGGACAACTGAGCTAGAGGTGGGGTTTTAAGCTCTTAATATATTTTTTTGTTCTGCTATCTGGCAGAAAGCAAAGGAATAGGAAGGAGGAAAGGAAGGAAGCCTCCCCGCCCAAATACACGCATCAGGAACTTGGAAAAAGGAAGGGATAGAGATAATTAGAAATCTTACCCCTAATGCAGTGTGTTTGGAACAGTGGGTCATGACCCATTAGTAAATTGGTGCAACTGACTTGATGGATCATGACTAGCATAAGAAGAAAGAAGGAGGGAAGGAGGAAGTATGAAAGAAAATAGAATAGAAAATACCACAGTGCACTGTGCATGAATTAAATTCAGGAAAGTTCTGTTTCATTTCTGGGTGTAGCTACATGATTACATGTAA